AGTGTAAACTACGAAAGTTATAGAGGAGTAAGGACTTTTTTGAAATGTAGCTTTTTTTTCAATTGAGGTAAGAATTTCGAAGAATTAATTCAGAACCAGTTATACAGTTTTTTCAATGGGTGGCACTGTAGCTCTCTGGTCTGTCAACATATATTTTTTCTGAGAGCTACAGTTCTGCAGCTACTTAAGTGTAAAATATTTGAAACTAAGTTTATATATATTATAGTACATTGATATTTATAACGGCGTCTGTGTTGTAATCGGTAGCGCGTCAGACTGACAATCTCGGGGTTGTGAGTTCGCTCCCAGGCGTGGGCGCAGTCAGTTTTTCTTCAGAAAATGAAGTCGTGCACTATTTCGGCATAGTATGCTTATGCTATTTAAATCCTTAGAACACTATGCAAGAATAGTAGGGTATGGGTTATGTAGAGACAAACTGACAGGAAGCATAATAATTGACAATATGCATTTATGACAAGAAAATTGAAAATCTTCCTGAAAGAAGTTGAATAAATTTAAGCCACTTAAGTACCAATCTTGTTAAAATTAGATGTTAGATCCGCTCACATAGTCACTACAGTCAGTTTAGCGAGTATGCGTGCGGATCTAACATCTTATTTAAATTACACGTAGATTGCTGAGGTAAAAGTTTAATACATGTACCCAATATCATTCTGCTATATTTGCATCCGCGTGGGTATTAACAGTGAGCATTAACTAACTGTGGCCTGGACCTCTTATTTTATGTGTTATGGGGTGTCCAAAACAAGGTGCATGCTGACGTTTAACAAAGAAGAAACTTGCAATGGCCTAAGGTGACTTGGCTATTATCAGTTGAATACATGTCAATGGTGCATGGTTATTATATGTACCAAAAAATAACAAGTAAAAGATCAGCAGAGTGCTTTTATTAAAGAAGTAACAGAACTAAGGAAAACTTGTTTTCTACTGGATGATATGAAACAATGAGTAGAGTACCACCGCAAATATTTCTGGATCCATGCCCTTTCATCATGTTTATTTTTGAACGGGTTCAATGAACTGTCAAAAATTCTTGATATGTTTAGTAGGTGTAGGTAGAAAGTTTTGAAATTAGTGAAAAGGTTGTTAAATATTTTTAATGCAAACTACCAGTAAATGTGCATAATGAAGATGGTTGAATTTTTTTCAACATTATTTTCTGTTCATTTGTCAGATCGGGTTCGTTATGTGTAAAATAATTTCCAGCTGTCATTGGAACAAAACAAGGCATGATCAGGATCATACAAAGAAAATTAAAAGTAAAAATTAGGTAAATTATTACAGTTTGTACGTCTAAATAAGTTTTAAAACTCTCTTAAGAATCTCAGAGTGACTGATACGACCCAATTTCATGTGATTTTTTAATTGGAAACCTATCAGTTTAGTGCAGCAAACAGGCAAAGATCTAACAACGTGCATGGATCTGATCATGTTGTAAAGCTTGACAAATGGCACTTATGCAATAAATTAACCTAAATGATTAGGAGGAAAATAAACATAAAAAGATTTGTTCTTTCTTAATTGCATTTTTTATTTTTCCCATTCAAAATTTACATACAAGGAATAAAAGAAGGTAATCTACATACAAGGGAAATTGCCTTTTTACTTAAAAAAAAAAACAAAAAAAAAAACCTGAAAGTTATAGAGATAAAACCACTTTTGATTTTTTGATCTTTAATCATTGAAAAAATTAAACATTACCCCAAAATTGGTTAATTTTAAGAAATTAAAAAAAAAAATGGTTTAGGAAACGCATAACTTAAATGAAAATAAATAATTAATAGTAGTTAAACTGTTCAATAGTTTCTTTATTTGGTTTAAAACTGTTGTTTCTTTATCCCATGGGAGAATTTTTTTCTATTTTGTAATGAATATGGGATAAATCCCACATTTATAAAGAGATGGGAGATTATCTTCTATATACAAGTATATGGGAGATTTTGTCCCATTATAAAGCATTCATGGGATTTTCAAACTTCTATGGGAGAAAAAATCCCACAGAATACCTTTTTCTCCCACAGAATAATGGTGGGATATTGGTTAGGAGAAAAAATCCCACCATTATCCCATGGGATTTCTTGGTTTCAGGTGTAATATCTTTTTACCTAGAAGATAATCAGGTGTAAATTTTGGTTCATGTGTTAAGTTTTAAAAAATCCCATCAGATGACATAAATGGTTTCCACATATCTTTGGAAAAGTGGTTGGCGAAAGTCCGGACAAATGTCGTGTCCGGAGTTAAATGTCGCACTGTTATACTTCATTTTTACAAGGAAATTTTTAAAAATATGTTTACACAAAGTTTAGTTGTCTTTCTTTCATTTTCTTTAAAATATTGAAAGAATAGGGTATCTCAAGTAATTTCTTCTGCAGTTACACTCTCAGAAATAAACATTTTATTGCATCAACTTCCATGTACTTTGGGGGGGGGGGGGGTGGTCAGAAAAGAAGAACAGAGCCATGATAAACAAGTATCTACAGGTAGTGAAGACTCTTTTTTTCAAATCTTGGCTGGGTGGGGGGTGGGGGTGGGGTGGTTACCTACTTACATATATATGGCCGAAAGAAGCAAGTTCTGGGGGTCTGGAGGGGGGCAATTTCAGTTGGGAGGTGGCACAAGCAAACAAAAAAAAAGAATGATTATGCACAATCATAAAGTAGGTACATTTCATGTTTCCTATCGTATATTATTTATGGGCAAAGTTATAAGGTGGAGGGGGGGGGGGGGGAGGGCTGATATAATCAAAACAATTGCTCTATCTCTAAAAACTGTTCCCTTTTATAAATCCTTTGGTTTTGAGCCAAAAGATATATTGTCGACATGTTCACTTTAGACTTAAGACAGGTATCTAGTAGTCTCAAGATTAAGACAGTACGTCTTGGATTATCATAAGATATGGGAGTTTTGTGAAACAGCTATGGTGCAACCTTACGATAATTTTCGGTCTTAAAAAAGATCTTAGTCATAAGATAGTTTTGTGAAACGGGTCCCGGCTGGATTTGAACTTCCAGTCATGTACTTAGTTATTTATTGAACAATTCAAATTCTTTACTAGCTTAATTCTCTGTGAAAAATTTTTAATGGACTGATTTCATAAAAAGAGCTTTTTAGTCTACCAGAGATGAAAGCCTTTCTGATCTGAAAGGTGTCTGTCTGTCTGTCGTGTGTATTCTGTTAACTTTTTACATTTTCAACTTTTTTAAAACCACTGGGCCAATTTCAATCAAACTTGCCATAAGGCATACTAGGGTAAAGAGGATTGAAGTTGTCCAAATGAAGGGCCTTCCCCTGGCCCTTTTCAAGGGGAGATAATGAAGAAATCGTAAAAATTTGGTGACATCTTTCAAACATTTTGTCAAGAATTACTGATCAGAAAAGATGAAACTCCTTAACATGTTGTAAATTCAAGTTTATTCAATTCATGACCATTTCATACGGTTTGGCGACAATGAAACAGGAAGTTTTACGTGTGAAATATATGAATAATCTTTAAAAATCTTCTTCTCAAGACTAACAAGGTCATGATTAGTCATACCAATATTAATATGCAAGCATCCCCAGATATGGCAGAATCAAATTTAAGGTATTCAATGTATAATGAAGGGATTTTGAACAATTTTGAATCATTTTAAATTAGTTAAAAATGCATTCTTAGATAACGATTAAAGTGAAATGAACCAAATTCACATGACTGATAACATATAAAAGGCTGGTCATTTTGCACGTTAAAAGTTTTTGAAGAGTTATCTCCCCTTGATGCAAAGAAGAAAATTTTAATTTCGTCAAAATATCTGTGGTAAATGATTAATTTTATTTCATATTTTAATAAAGAGAGAGTCTATGCATATTTTCACCAAGAGCTTTTTATGAAATTCAAATTACTTTTTACAATATCTTAATAAAACATGCACTTCCCATAGACTTCAATGTAAAATTCAAGGTGTAATTAATTTGACAATAATCAAAATTATGTAAATTTCTTTGGTTGAGAATTTTTATTTCATAATACCTTCAAAATGATACCTTAATTACAAATATAGGACCGTTCATTTATTAGATACAAAATATGGTCGTTATACATTGAATACCTTAATCAATCCATGACCCCTGTGGCTAGGGTGCGGCTGCAATAAGGAAAGAAAGTTATATATTGGAATATACAGGGGAAAAATCAAGAAGAACAGAGCCATGATAAACAAGTATCTACAGGTAGTGAAGACTCTTTTTTTCAAATCTTGGCCTCGGGGGGAGGGGGGGGGGGTTCTTGGATGGGGCCATAATATACAAGGGATTAAAGTTTTACATAGGAATATATAGGGAAAATTCTTCATCAAGAAAGCAGGCTTCTTACTGATCATATTGATATGAAGTGCACATCAAAAGAATTTGAATCAAGCCACCAAGAAGGGGAAATAACATATTTGCTTGAGAATATATAGAAAAAAATTATTAATTTTTTTTCTTAAGACATGATTAATCATATCAATATGCTACCATCCTAGGTAGTGCCGATTTAAGTTCGTTCAAATTATGGCTTAAGTGGGAGATTGGGAGCACAATATGGGATTCAAAATCTTTGTCGGAATATACAGTAGGAGAGAAAAAAACTCTTTCATGAATCTTTTCTCTAGATTGGCAATGCTAGTATGACTCTGGTAAGCGTTGTGGCCCATGCGCCTCTTGTTTGAAACTGGGGTGTTTATTTTGGAGTTTGAAATAACAGACAGTATTATATATTTTATACCCCATCATGCCTGATTATGACGGCTCATGGACAAATTATCAGAGAATACACACATTCTTTACCACTTTAAACTCGAAGAGACAAATATGGAGTACTTCGATAACATTTCAATCCTTGAGGCTATTTTCACAATAAGGACAGGTAAAGTTTATCATTCACAGTCACATTTACAGTCTTGTTGATAAATGGATTGTTGGATTTTTACTTAACTAGCACTATAAAATTGTAATTTAAAATGTCTTTAACGGATAGTTGCGAACCTAAGGTGCAACCAAAAGGACCATCTACGATACAAAAAATTATAAAGACTGTCTTTCTTGTCTCCATTTGGACATGTATTGTAAGTAGCAAATAACAGTAATTACATTTATTCAATGTCGCAAAATTATACAAGTAGGATTGCTGGATTTGTATTATGACTTTTACTAACATGGAGCTTATTATTTTGTATATTCAATATTTCCTTTCTCTTGTTTATATTAAAATAATTATGCTTATGCCTAGGGACTCTGCATTGAAATTGCTGGGCCAACACTAAAAGACCTCAAGCTTCGGGTAGACCTTGACTATGAGGAAGTATCAAGAGCAGTTTCCGGTCGAAGCGTCGGATACTTTATAGGAAGTGCAATGGGAGGGTTGCTTGTCGACAAACTTGATCCGTATTGCGACCTGATGCTAGCGGCTTGCCTTGACCTAATGGGAACAGCAACCATTGTTCTCCCATTTTCTCAAAGTATTGGTCTCATGTGGTTTCTATTTGTAATGCAGGGAACATTCGAAGGCATACTGAACATAGGTAAATAACGTAATTTTTTATATGAAACTCCATACCTGTTCGTATTTAATTTTGTTTCCGATGATATTAAGTTGCTAATTATAAAAAAAAATATACTTGATATTTCAGTTGGACAAAAGCTTGTTTTGGAAATTTGGCGAGAAAAGGCATCATCTCCTCTTTTCATTTTACACTTTGGGTTTGGGATTGGATCTTTCATCGTTCCACAGATAGCAAATCCCTTTTTAGCAGTTCCCAAGACCACAGCCTCACAAAATACTTCTAATATATCAACACCTAATATATCAACAGTTCTTCCTGTGTCTACAAAGGCATTCATTAATGACTCTCTCATAACAGAATATCTACAGGAGTCGAGGATAGAGTGGGCATATTTGATTGTCGCTATAATTACTATAGGGTTGTCAGTTGTGTTTTATTATTACCAGTTTTGTGGTAAATGGTCAAGGAATACTAAAGTTAATTATTCAAAGAAGAATTCATATATCCCACCAACGATTCGTGAAATCTTTGACCCTGCAACATGTGCAAATGGAAATCGCCTCTTTGGTGTACATATTTTAGGGCTACTTTTCCTTTTCTTTTTTAATGCTGTTGGAGGTGAGCGTGTTTATGGTAAATTCATCCGCAGCTTTGCTATCGATTACAACAAGTTCGATGGGGATGAGGCATCTCTGATAAATAGCTCTTTTTGGATTAGTTTTGCTATTGGGCGTTTCGCTGGGTTCATCGCTGCAAGATGGATTCCCATTCGAATTATCCTTCTTATAGAAGGAACAGGGGCATTAGTATCGGCGATACTGCTGAATGTCTTTGCTGACGACAGCTCTATTATGCTTTGGATTCTTACACAGCCGATGGCTTTTTTCATTGCTCCATGCTTTCCATCCGGTGTAGGATGGGCCGATTTTCACGTTCACTTGTCTGGACTTGGAATAACTTTTCTCCTTTTAGGAGGAGCTTTGGGTGGTGTTTGTTACATGTGGATCATAGGGTATTTCTACGAGAACAACGGCCCTCTTTCTTTCTTTTACGTTATGCAGGCTTATGGAATTTTAATGTGTGTCTTGGTATTGATAATGCATTTCTCTACTTGGGGAAAGGGACATCGCTTTCAGAACGAAGCAAAGGGAGTGGATGAGACTGTTGATATGGAGAAAGAAAAATTCAGTGTTAAAGAAACATTAGATACAGAAAAGAAAAAAGATCATGACAACCAGTAGAGTCAAAGAATTTGACACCCTATAAAGTTAAAGAGTTAGAATTTAAAAAATGTAACGTTTTTTAAAGCATATCCTTTCAATAATGTTTTTTATATTTAACAATCGGCCAAATGTCTTCCTTTTTTTTTTTTAAAAAACAAGATTTGTTTGTGAAACACTGATGCCCCCGTATGGCAGCTTATGGCAAAGGTTACAGTTTCTTAAATGCAAGTCAAACTCCAGGTCAAGAAATCAAAAATGTTGGTACCCAAAGAATGGTCTTTTCTTGAGGAATATACCTGTGAAATATGAAAGCCCTAGTACAAACCGTTGAAAAGTAATGACGAAGGTTAAAGTTTTTTCAACGTAAGTAAAACGGCAAGGTCAAGGTCAAATGGTGCCCAAGGGAAGTTCTTTTCACAAGTGATACACATGATCGTGAAATGTGAAAGCCCTAGAATCAAGGTTCAAATGTTATGGCCAATGTTAAAAATTTTTAAAAGTAGGTCAAATTCCAAGGTCAAAGTCAATGCCAAAATTGTTGGTATCCAAAGGAAGGTTTTGTCACAAGGAATATACATGTGAAGTATGAAAGCCCTAATACCAACCGTTCAAAAGTTATGGCCAAGGTTAAGTTTTTCAAAAGTAGGTCAAACTTCAAGGTCAAAGGGTCAAAGTTGTTGGTACCTAAAGGAAGGTCTTCTCATGTGAAGTATGAAAACCCTAGCACTAACTGTTCAAAAGTTATGGTCAAGGTTTAAATTTTTCAGAATTGAAGTAGGTCAAACTCAAAGGTCAAGTGGAAAAGGTCAAAGTTGTTGGTATGCGAAGAAAGGTCTTGTGACAAGGAGTGCACATGCGAAGTATGAAAGACCTAGCTTAAACTGTTCAAAAAATATGGCCAAGGTTAAAGTTTTTTCAACAGTAGGTCAAACTCCAAGGTCAAGGTCAAAGAGTCAAAGAAGTTGGTATCCAAATAAAGGCCTTCTCTCAAGGAATACACTTGTGAAGTTTAAAAGCCCAAGCTCTAAGTGTTCAAAAGTTATGGCCAAGGTTAAAGTCTCATAAAATTTTGCAAAAGTGGGTCAAACTCCAAGGTCAAAGTCAAAAGGTCAAATATGATGGTACCCAAAGAAAGGTCTTGTCACAAGGAATACACATGTGAAATATGAAAGCCATAGCTTCAATCAATCAAAAGTTGTGGGCAAGGTTAAAGTTTTTGCGGACAGACAGACAGACAGACGGACGGACAGGGCAAAAACTATATGCCCCCGAATCTTCGATTACGGGGGCATAATTATTAATCACTTCCTTTTTTATTCCATTTCAATTGTATTTTATATTTACATTCCACATATATTTTAAATTTCTCATAAAGTTTGTTGAAAACTTCGAGGAGGTCAGAAAGTAAATGTGGTGTTTTTATTTTGACATCACAAACGCTGGACGTCAAAAGAGAGGTTAAGTGTATATGACATCACAACGTGTACGCGTAATTTTGACGTTGACGTCAATGTAAATATTGTGTTTAGTTATACACACATACGTATGCTTTTTGTTAGAAGTAGAGTTCATAGATTCATGAAAGGAGTTTTATGATTAATTTCTAATGAAAAATAAAACCTAAATGTAAATTAATACCAATACTAGTGATATCATGTACAATGAATAATTATGAATTATTTGCTTGATTGTTAATTCTCATTAATTAAGAAGTAAGGTATCATTTTATAACTCTAAATAAATAAATAATAAATTTTAAAAAACACAAACAAACTTTGTTGATTCATCATTCATTAGCAAGTTGAGATAGTTCTCTTGTTTTATCACTTTTAAATAAAATCGATCAATTAAAACAAGGAATGAAGAATTTTATTGATAACTTAAACCCGTTTATGCCGTACGTGTAGACAACGTATTATACGTTTTATATTGGGATTTGACATCATGATGTCAAAGAGTATACTAATTGATGACGTGTATGATTTTGTACCTCATGTAACATTTATATGGTTTAGAGAGAATAAATTGAATTGTATTGTCGTCAACCGTACAAGTTCGATCATTGCATGACGTGTTACAACCTGGCTATAAACGAAAATTAAAATTCACCCTTACTTTGAACAGTAATGGCTGCTTGTATCATTTAGATAAGCATAGGGTATTCAAAGAGGCGATATTTTATCAATCTACCATGAAATTAGTAGATATTTATATAAACGTAAGCAATTTTTTTTTTTTGCATATTTTGGATGTTCACCGTGTCATAACATGCAGGACCGTAAAGACAAAACTTTCATAGCGCGTTAACGCGCGTTCTTCAATTTTTCAGAACAGCCGTCCGCGTTTTAACACGATAAACGTTCAAAATTTACAATTCAATGCTAAAATAACTCGCAGGTAATTTGTATACAAAGGTCTCTAGTATTGCAAAGGTGTCCATAGTATTAAAAAGAGGTCCATGGGTAGAAAGCACATTGTTTATGATAATTTTGTTGAACTTTGATAGTTAATATTCAGGATTTAACAGATTTTCAAAGTCCATTTAAATGTCTACTTCTAATCAATCATTTCCATTTGTAAGTTGAGTTGTAGTGAATTTAAATGTTTTGGTAGAGGGTACATTGTTCAAATATCGTCCGTCTTTAGTGTGAATGCTGTATGTCGAGGAGTAAAAACGTTTCAGTGAAATTGCTTGAGCTTTGTCCACACGAAGCCGGGTTCAGCGGCGAGGACGTGACTCATTGTACCAATACTGGTTTAATTATATGCAGCTGTTTTAGGAAAGAGTCACGTAGTCACTTGGGTAACTTGATTGATTGATTGATTATTATTGTTTTACGCCGAGTCGGCAATGTTTCAGCCATATTTCGGCGGTGGGTAACTTGAATAACGAAATTAAGAAATTAGCAATTCAATAATACTATTGACAAATGCTCCTAAAATGTAAAAAAAAAATAGATTTAGATAATCCGAATTAGAGATAGTTAATTACAAGATGATTTTGAAGCTCTAAAGTGTGCTTACACTTTCATACTTGTTTGCACTAGCTTGCTTTTCTTTGTAAATACAAATTACGTCCGATTGATTAAATTGGGGGGGGGGGGGAGGTGTTTTTTTAAAATACCCATATATAGCCTTGTTATTCTCTTGAAACTGATCAAAATTGAAGCAATGCTTGTGAATTATTTCTCAAAGAGATGGATTACGAGTGATCAGAAAATTTGAATAAAATTTATGGTCTGCGTGGTTTAAATATTGTGCAGCATCCGATAAAAACTCCGAGGTTGCACGAAATAATAAAGTAATTGTACTCGCTTTTTTATGAAAATGCCCAATTATGATTATTTTCAGCTATTCATAATTATCAAATCGTGCAGTCAAGATGTTTATCTTAATATATATTTTTTTTTCTTTTGGAAAAAACTACTCTCTATGAAATATTTGACCCACACATGTAATTATTTTAATTTTACAGGTACTGTTAGCAGAATGTAAAATTTAGAAATTAAAACAAGGTATCAAATTCAAAAAACAAATTACAATTTAATTTAATAACGAAAATCATATTATCACTAAATTTTCCTTATACGCTACTAAAACATTTCGCGATAATATGATATAAATGTTGGGGGAGAATGCAGAATAATATGTGATGTTTTAACGAAAACGTCGTGATAAACATGTGATTTAGTAATGATAAAGCCTGAACAAATAGTTTTACAAATTTTTATAACATATTTTTTTGATGAACATGCTATCCTTAAATGGATCAGAATAAAATTGTGTAAAATTTTCAAAAATAATTGTATATTATATGTTTTAGAATTTATATATAGAATTCTGTTTGTTCTTTTAATTAAGATGACCATGCTCTTTCAATTAATATACATGTATAGCGAAGAGGTGGTTCGTAAAAGGAACTCATACTCTTATGCCCTGTTCACACGGAGAGTTTAATTCGCAGTAAATTAATGCGAAGTAAAATGATGCGAATTAAAATAATGCGAATTAAATTGCGTTCACACGACAGATAATGCGAAGTAAACTAATGCGAATTAAAATTTTATTTCTACAGTAAGGCTTTTCAGTAAGGCTATTATGACGTCATTTTCAAATCACGTCACCTTATGCAGAGCAAATCCATTTGACATAATGTCATAGTGTCTATACACATTTCAGTGATTAACGTAATTTTCCTTTGTTTTGCACTAAAAATGGCATAGGTACCTATAACTGACCACCGTCATGTGCCAGGTGACTTAATTTTGCTCTTGCGCATGCGTAAAATTTAATTCGAATTAGCTTCGCTTAGCGTTCACACGGAGCTAATGCAAAGTAATTTAATGCGCAGTAAACTAATTCGAATTAAACTAATTCGCATTAAATTCTCCGTGTGAACGCGGATCAAATTTAATTCGCAGTAACTTACGTTTAATTCGAATTAAACTCTCCGTGTGAACAGGGCATTAGTATATATTCAATAAATCAGGAACCAGAAGAACTTCATATATATATATATATATATTGTTATATATATATATATATATATATAACAAACTTTCTAACGTCTTAAATCATGGCAATGCTAATTAATTGTAGAACAAGGGCATTTTAGGACGTAGATCATGTTTTTTTCGGTACACATTTTATGTACTCCAGTGAATGGTATGTTTCAAGGTTTCATTTTCTGGATATAAGTTGTTTCATTTTTTTCTTTTACATGGGAAACATTCAAGTTCAAGCCTTAGTATGATGCTTATCATTCATAATTATTCGTAAAACAGCCTCAGGTATAGTATGCAACAAACACAGATGTGCATCAATTTGAAAGTTTTGTTATCAGGTAATATTTTGAGGTTCAATGAAATATATTTCTGCAGAACATAAAGGTCTCAAGATAAATCAAGATACATGTACCGATATTTGTGGAAATTGAAAGTGAAATGAATGAAAATTAGTCAATACTAAACCGGAACAATATTTCAAGCTGGTATAAAGTACAGCTTGATATTGAAAAATAGGAGATGTATTCTTTTATTCTTTATTCACAAATTCAATATGATTAACAGATGCATGAGATTAGGAAGACGAAACTTTAGTTGAAGATGTGCTACCATTCAAATCTCGTAGTTCAGCAGTAATGAGTATAGAAATTGCAGATAATCTATGGCAGACCATGGGTAATGGTACATTGTAATGTTATTCTAAATCAATGAATTAATTTAATGTCAGTTATGATGTGTAAAAGTAAAAAAAAAAAAAAAAAAAAAAAAAAAAAAAAAAGGAATCCTGGATGTTACGCTTTCTGACTTTAAATTGATTTCCAAATGAATTCAGGCCTGTACAAACTGAGAAGCACGTACGGATGGGATGGGGCGTGCCCTCCCAGTAATTTTGCCAATATATGTACCGGTACTATCCACAAATCTTATGAATTCCATTTTCACAGGTTTAAAATATCATCAGCAAAAATCCATCAGCATTGTACTTTCTACTCATAATCAGTTATCTATCACCATTTATGAATGGTCGGAAATATGGTCATAAACACCGCGAAAAGAACTCATTTTGTCAAGAATTTTGTGAAACTATCTGATTATTCTGATAAAAATTTAAATTTTGAAACAAGAACTTTTATTTCATAGTTCATGAATATTGTGCTTTAGGTTACTTAAGGCAAAGGTTCGAATTTCCCCGATAAGAGTTTTTGCAATTGAAATTGTGTCTTGTTCGTCGTTTGTCTTCTGTTTGCCGTCTTTCTGTGAACTTTTTCATTATTTTCGATTTCGATACACACGACCAATTTCATACAGCATCCTTGAGTCAATGCAATATTCAATTTTATCAATTAATGTTGTATTAAAGGAAGATTATCAGAAAATTGCGACAAAATAAAGTTATGCCATTTAAAAAATCCTCTCGTAAACCACTTTGCCAGTAAATATAAAACGGAAGTTGAAACTTGTAGCATATCATCTTTTGAGCGACTATAAAGATGTGTTGGAGGGATTGATATTTATGTTCGTAGGTATTTACAGGATAATTATTTGAAGTTTTTTTTTATTTAAAAAAATTACTTTAGGGCTACGGCAGTGTCACAATATGGTTTTACCGAAGTCTTTTTCCAAATATCAAATTTGCAATCAACTTATAACAAAATGTAGATTCTCGATTTGTTTTTCTTTTTAATGGTTACGACGTCGACAACGTTGCTTTTCATCTTTTCTAAAAAAAAAAAAAAAAAAAAT